AGTTTCTGGGTGAGATCAGGCTTTAGATGAAGGAGAAAGCCAACGTTGCTGATACCAAGGTGCTGCATGTAGGTGCTTCCCTTGGATTTGAATCTGAAAACGCATATTCAGCTCTTCTGAAAAACTGAATAGTCATTTATGCTGCTTAGGCTAGTTTGGGAATTTTGTACTGAGTTTTTCACGCCAGAGGCTGTCTCTGTGGGCTTGTACCACACACCTAGAAGAACAGGGTTCAGCATGCTAAAAAGAGACAACTGTTTTATTGTAACATCAAATGTATTAGAAATTGTATTCCTCAACATACTTGTATTTATGGATAAAATGTATGGTTAATCTGTATTGTATTAAATATATGTATCACTGATAACCTGATATTTTTCTTAAGCTAAATGCTGTACTTAAGCTCTTTTGTCTTCTGTTTTGCATACTTTCAAGGTGGTTTGATTAAGACCGACTTCTCATTAAGCAAAACCACATGATCTCAGATTAAGCCCAAAACAATTTTACATTCCAAAGGACATATTTAAATTCTATTTAAAAAATTGCTCAGAATATTTTAAAATACAATGTACGGCTTGGCACTGTCTCCTAGATGTTTACCTATTACAATTCAGGGTATAATGACATGCAAAAGACAGCCAGTCTGTCTCCACAGTCTCGGTTCCAGCTGTCTTTTTTTTTTTTTTTTTTGCTGTAGAATAGGTATTTTTGGAAATTCATCACAGTGGCTCTAAATGATGAGCACAGTGGATGGAGAGGGGTAATTTCATGGAAGTTGGACACGAGTTGGAGTTCTCAGTAACTGTACAGTGGGGTGGTTTTTGCATACCTGCTGATAGGTGTATTTACAGTGTCAAATGCCAGGCTGTATAAAGCAGCAGTACCCAAAGGTGAAGGGGAGCCTGAAGAAGAGTGTCAGCCTTAAGGCTGGAAATCGCTGACTGAGAGTTGGCAGCGCTAACTTTAAATGAGCTGCTACCTTGCAAAGGCAGTTCAGAAACACAATCAATAAGTATGCCTTGAATTCTGTGTTGTGGTGCCTGCATAGCTTCCTGTAGTTGGGTAGCTTGTTTAAAGCTAATTTGGTTATGTCTGTGGTATACAGGGGTTTGCAGTGTAGTTACATCCTAATCTTGGTTGGTTTAGTACCCTTTTGTCCTCTGGAATTTGCAGTTGGCTGTGCTTTTCTACTTCTTAATCAGGTTCCATGGATATATGAACCAAAAGAATAAGAAGCTCTCCATTATTACTGTAAAGATGACAATAAATATAGGAAAAAAATTCCTTGCTAAATAGCTCAATAACTGTTTTAAAGGGTTTTGGTTTGTTCTTTCAATGGCTGATTAATAAAAAAAAAAGCCTAAGGTATTTGGTAGTGATCATTGTGTTCATAGTGAAAATGCACTCTACTGTAAAAGAAATTCTGCTATGCTGCATGATTCTGTCAATATTTCAACCAGTAAACAGATGTTGGGCCAAGTCCTTAAGGTAAAAATCATTTACAGAAATAACGTGGCTTCCACAACGTGGTCCAAGAGCAATCTTTCTAGATCGTAATGCTGATTGTGCCTTTGGTTACCTTTTGGTAAATGCACAGGTTCTGGTGAACACTGGGTTGAGCTTGTCTCTAAACACAGAGTCAGTGGGATTGGCTTAAGAATGGCTGGAAGCCAGAAATGTTGTTAAAGGTTTAAATATGTTGACGGCCTCTGTCTAAAAATCACAGTTGTATTTCTCTTGCTGATAGAATAGTTGTACCCAAGATTGCTCTAAACAAACTGAGAATTACCCCTCCGACCCCTGCCTTTTTTTTTGTCATACATTTGACCTCTCTTCTTGTACAGACCTCTTCAGTGTTTCCAAGTCTGTCTTGATTGCTATATAAAAACCACATGCAATAAAAAGAAAAATGCTTTAGGTGAGAAGGGTGGGGATATTAATATCAGACATACTAATGGATAATGTAGTGTTTGAAACGAAATCCAGGAAGTCTTCCAAATTCATGTTATTCCTGTGTACTTTCCCCCTGAAGCTAATGAGTGTTTTCAAATATAGCCATGTGAGGTCACGTCTTCCTTTTTAACCATATCAGAAAAAAAATTCTTTAATTTCTTTGTTGTAATATTAAAAGTTACCCTGGATATTTTTTCCCTGGATTTTGTTTATTTATTCATTGAAATTTTTCTGTCCTGATCTGTATATGGCATAGGAACATGGAAGAATCATTAGAGGCAGGAATGATAATAGGAAGATTGAAGTAAATGTCTCAGCAGAAGGCTGAGAGGAGAAGGCTCAGCAGAGAAGGCTCAGCAAAAAGCAGAATTTTCTCCAGAAAATTCTCCAGAAAGTGGCCCAGATGGAGAGAAAGAGTGGCTTTCTTCCATGGCTTGTCAGGAAGTCTGCTGTATAGAAGGTGAGGGTGTTTGCAATATGCAGTGGTACATTGGTAGTGCTTTGTCGCCAGAGCTATGATTCTTCAACCTGTGAGATGACAGCTGCCATATTTTTATCTGGAATTGCCAAGGCAGAGCTCTGCGGGCATGTGCAATGTAGTGCTTGTGCAGTAAGTTGTTGAATATAAATAGTTTGTGTGTACCCAGTAAGTCCAGTGCTTACAGGAAGCATATGACTGATCCTACACGAAATACATGGGTTGTAGGTGGATGTGCAGCATATCCTTTGAGTGCCTTCCAAAAGTGTCAGACCAAGACAGATATTCATTGATTGTACACTGCATGTGTAATAGCCTGTGCTTACAAAAACGCTTCGGACTTGCTGTGTGTACTTGTTGCAGTGGGTTGAAGTGCATATAGTGCACGTGTCTGGGATGTCCCGGTGTACAGCAGCTTGTTTGGAGCTGTGCTGTAGTAGTTCTGACTGAGCTGCTGTTCCTCTGGAAATAGGGGGCAAGTAAAATCTGGGAAACATGTCTGGGAAAACTCAAGACATGTGGCAGCCTTATGCAGGATCCTCTTAGGCTGTTTACAGCTGCAGGAAATAAAATGCCAAAATGGAGCCTGTCAGGTTATGATACTGCCAGAAGTGTGGTGTTTGCCTGGTGTTTTCTCATTATGGATTGGCAAAGAGGAAAGACTGTTGGCATCGGAAAAAGGAGTGGCATTGGAGAATACACTCCAAAATTTCATGGGGAAGGAGAGAATGAACTACAACTGGTAATTACCGCAGCTGATGTATGTCTTCATTCCCCAAATGCTCCTTTATATCCCAAGAAGTGGACTTTAGATTTGCAGACTTGGTAGCCGCTCTAAGTCTTTAGTTCTGTAATCCTCCTTCTTCGGCTTCAGAACAGAGGCCTGGTGTTTAAAAGGGGATTAAAACCATACTGGTGCTTCTAGTGTCCTTGAAATAGGGTTTTTAGCTTTTTTTATTTTTTTTTTAAATAGGCCTCAGTTAAAACCTGCTCCTTTTTCCCAGCTCTCCAACAGAAAATGGATAATAGTGCAGCACAAAGGTCTGTGTATGCAGCAGGTTATACAAGCATGACAGTAAAACCTTCTGCTGCTTGTTCAAACAGGCGTTCTCTCTGGTAATCTAAAGTGTTGGTTTCAGAGCCTCTTGTTGCCCAGACCTTTATGTAGCACCATGGCATGTCAAGTGCCCAGTCCAGAGAATGTGGCGGCTTAGAGTATATGGCGTAGGAGAAGACAACAAACAACTGGTTTTGGTAATGAGGGCAATAGGACACAACAGGGTCTCTTTGAACATAGATATACTTGTGCATCACTTTCCTGTGGTCTTGCGGATACAATTTGATGACTACTGGTTGCAAGACTAACGAGAAAATGTGGAGAAGATGGCTCTACAGGAGCAGACAGTTAAGACTGCTCAATAGCAACTGTGAAGCAGGGGTAGAACGTTATACACCAGGCTTAGTTTATAGATCTGTTGTCTTGGACTGGTTGAGTGTTGTATACATTAGGTTGAATCAGTTGTTGGCTCTGGATGGTAGTTTTACAATGATGATTCAGCATTAGTATTGTCTTTTCTTATAAAGGAAAACAGTTTGCTTCCTGCCTCTTTCTTCAGAAATGCAGCTGTTATTGTAAATGATTGGAATTAGCTGTTTCCTAATAGTTGTTTTAAGTGCACATAGCCATTGAATTAGACTTTCTGCTACAAAACCAAATAATTTCCTAATTAGCACCTTAAAGGATCACCTTTAATGCTGCCTTCTGCAGCTTTTCTACTGAAATTTCTCATTTTTTCATGTCTTTCCTTCATCTTAGTCTTTCTTTATTCTTCTCCAGCTGCCAGCCATTTCCATCTGCCCCTTTGCTGATTCATTGTTTGTCGCATGAACTGCTCTATTTGTGCTTGGGAAGAAGAGAAAAAGACAAACTCCTCCTTCACAGTCACTCTTTTCTTGATTTCCATTTCAACTTTCTCTGTTTTTTTTCATTTCCTATTTCCATTCAGTAGCCCTCACTTTTTCCCCTTTAATCTATTTCATTTTTTTCCCCTCTGATTGTGCTGATTGGCCTCTGTTGCTTTCCTGTGCTGGGGAAGGAGGCAGAAAGGACGCAATTAGCAGGAGGAGATGGCTTCTTGTAGGAGCCAAGGGAGGACCATCCTGCCCACTGCAATGCTGTAATAGCTGGTATGGAGATAGACTCTGTGTTTCAGCCAACCTGGAGCAACCGTGGCATTTAGTTACTCATTAAAATGATAAAGGGACAATATTTAGTAGATAGGATTAGATCAGTGTGTTTCACTGTGATGGGTTCGTCTGTTTGGCTATGCTTTCTGTCTATTCTGGCTCATAAGCTGTTGAATGTGATATTTTCTATTGTTAAGACTAGCAGTTACAGTAGTATTTACTGCATGTTGCTACAAGGGTTAATAAAATCATTCTTCTAGTTTTCTTTTAAAATACAGTTGCTTCTCTGTTTTGTGGGGATGGCATGTCTGTCCAGGGTAATGCTACTTAAAACATACATATATATATATATATTTGTTTGTTTGTTTGTTTGCAATTCTAGGAATGCTTTAAGGGAAGCTGGGCCACTCACAAGTTATTACACAAGAAAGCAAGTAAGTACATTTTTTTAAATCCGTTTTAATATTGTTTTGAATTTGCTTTGTCCTGTGCAGCTGGCTCTAGGTGGCCCTGCTTGAGTAGGGGGTTGGACCAGCTGACCTCCAGAGGTCTCTTCCAACCTCAACTGTTCTGTGATTCTGTGTCTCAGAATGGTATGGATTTTTGCAAGATATCTGGCACTGCATTGTGCTTATCTGAAATTTTTGTCCAGTTCTTGGTAATCTAAAGATCTATGTAAAATTTCAGAGACAGTGGTACAGAAATCTCTGTTTCTGTTCCCTTTTCTATTTGTATGAAGTATTCCTTGAGCTACGTTGCTGGGTATATGAACAGAGAAAGAGGGATGCTGAAATAAAGGGCAAGGAGAATAATAAACCATTATTATAAGGCATTGCCAGGCTTGTTCCATCATAGCATTTTGATTTCTAATGTAGTAAAAGGCAGTAAAGTGGGGAAGGTTCTTGTGAAGACTTTGTGATTAGACACTTGCTGCAATGCAAGCGAGCCAGTCAGAGTGCAGCTCTTCTGCACATTTGAGGTGTACCCCTTTGGAGAAAAAAAAAAAAAAAAAAAAAAAAAAAGAAAATGCTTTTGTGCACTGATGCAGCCATTGATAGGAGAAGGTATCATAGCTAGGATTTTGCTGAGTTTAGTTGAAGGTAATAAGAGTATTTGTATGCCTTAGTTACAGTTGGTAGCTCCGGCACAAAAATACTGGTAGACTGGTAGATTCTCCCTTACCTGATTAGTAAAAACAATCCATGAGTTTAAAACCAAACAAACAAAAAGAGAGAGCAGACACAAGTTCTGCCCCCCTTGCCACCTCCTCCTCCTCCCCTTCATCCCCCTGTCCATCTTCATCAAGCCCTGCTTAAAAGGGAGGTGGGATTAAAAAGTAAGTGGCATGGCAGAAATTCAAATTTTCAAGTAATTTACCTCCTCCTTTCCTAAAACCCAATAAAGCTTCTTTTTCCATGATAAATGTTGCGTGGTTAATAGGTTGGAGTAGCACAGACAATTACAAATGTTTTCCTTCCGTCTGCCTTCCTAATGTAGGGGTCTCACAGTTCACACTTGCGTTCTGTATCCTATTACTTCGTACCTGCATGGATGTGAAACTGTCTTTGTTAGTAGTTCTAGTAATCTTCTGGTGCAGTCTTCTAATGCCTTTGTTTATCTGACAGCAAATTTTTTTATGGTTCCACTAAATCTGTGATCTTGTTGGCTTCCTGGATAACTGCTGAGCCCAAGATGAGCTGGCTTGGTTCTGATAGCCCTTGAGACCTCAATGCAACAAACTACAGAAGCATCTCAAGGGAATCCAAAATATCGCTTCATTAAAACTTTGGATTTTTAAATTATTATTTCTCAGTGGTTCATCTAAACTGAACGTTATGTGAGCAGATGGCTCAGATGTCAGCCATGGAGACTCTGAGGAACTCACATTAGGGCTTGCTATGGCAGACGTTTTGCCATCTCTTCATTCTTGTGAGATATAAAAAGAGAAAACAAACTTAAGTTATTAGGTTATGAGTTAAAGATTAATGCTGCCGTGCTCTTTCTTAACCCTTGCCTCTTCTTCCCGAGTAAATATTTTTCCTTTTGGTAATACTCATGATCTACTTGCTTCAATCCTTTATGTAAACACCTTCAATCTGCCCTGTTAGAACTGTGTTATTTGTGAATGAAGGCAGTCACTGGACCACATCAGACATGAATTTCACAAGGTTGAGAGAGCTGGGAACCTTCAGCAGATTGGGACCATCTTGTCAGGTGCACGCACTGCCTGTCCTGAAATGCAGAAGTGGCAGCACCCGCGCTCCCTCCATCAGATCTGGAGGGGTAGCAGGCTCCATATATTGAATCTAACAGTTGGATACCCTCCTTCACAGCCCAGGTCATTTCTGTCACTGAATGCTAAGAGAAATTGCAGAAGAGGAACATTCATCTACGGTGCAAGAGTGTTAATTGCAGGGATAATGAGTGTTTCTGTAGAAATATGCGTTTTCCCAAGAATGAAAACAAGCACAGAACTATGTTTTAGCACTACAAACGGAGAGCAACTTAATTATTACACTTTGTCTGTGCATTCGGTACTGCTGTCCTGACATTCCCCTGTTTGCTGTTGAATAAAGATAGAGTTGGCAGGATGTGAATTTTGCATGTGAAAAACTTAAGGGCAATACACAATGATAACTGCTACTTACACTTTCATATATCAGTATCTAAAATGCCAGGAAGAGTCAAATCCAGACTTATGTGCTTCTAAGTCACTTTCTGGACCCCACAGTTCTTGTTCTTAGTAGGACTGATTTTGCTGCTGCAATTTTTTTTTCTTTTTTTTTTTTTTTTGTCTCTTCAGAAGATGAAAAAGCTAAGCGTGAAGTTTCCTCTTGGACCTTGGAAGGTGACGTTAACACAAATCCGTGGTCTGGTTATCGATATACTGGTAAACTCAGGCCACACTATCCACTGGTAAGCAATAGGTGCCACTCTGAACTTCAGCACTGCTATGTTCTGTAGCAACTAATGGACCAGTCCTGACCTGGTTACCTCCCACATTTTAGCAGAGAAGGGAAAGCTTCTTAAACAATCTGAATCTGATTGCAAGGACATGTATGACTGTGTCCTTATTATGGTTCATTTTGATTTAACTTGATCTATCTCTTGGTATATTTAAAATGAAGGAAGTGCCTGTGAGGTAACATGCATCCGTAACGGGCTTAAGCGCATACCTTTTGGCTGTGCATTTTGACATTTATTCTGCAAAAAGCTGCTGCTAGTTCAGATGAAGTCTTCTCGTAGCTGTTTACTGTTCTCACCAATAATGGAGCAGTCTGTTTGAGAAAAAACTCAGGTGAATTAATTTAGAATTTAAATAAATGGGTTTATATTATTTTACGTAAGTGGTTTGAAATAACCTGGTGAGTAAGCTGGTGAGCAGCTCTGCTGAAGGAACAGAGGTTATAGTGATCTCCGGCACTGGAATGGTGAAGAATAACTGAGGTCAGTAACATCTTCAGCTGTAAAAGGTGGGTTTAGAATATGACCTCAGTATAGCTGTATTTTTAAATTGGTACATGTTTGTATGTGGAATAAGCCAAAGTTTTTACAGGAATAACGCCATTTTATTTACATGTGTCTTTTCTAATTGGCCTGTGCTAGAAATGCTGCCCCTGTGGCATCCTCTCTGTAGTGTTCTCCATCTGTTACAGGCTCATCAGAGAACAGATTAACAGAGCCTGAGCCCACGGGTGTTTGTTAGTGTCGTTGGAGAATGGGTGTTTTGGATATGTCGCCGGCCAAGTAATTTAGTAGTGTTATCGCTGAACATTTGCTTTTTTGTCTTCTGACTCCTGTAGGATTGATGCAAATGAAACTATAATAAAAAGTGCTAATGACTAGGGTGATGATTAGAAATAACAATCTTGCTAATAGACACTAATAACCAGAGAGAGGAAGGATGCATTTGGAACCAGTGTGTTTGCAGTCTGGAAAGTAGCAGAATAAACACTACAATGTAACAGGGATAATATGTCATAAAACCAGTTTCATTTACTTGACACATAAAAGTTTGAGTTTTACAAAGCTGTGAAGTTGGCTATTAAGAGGTTGTATAATATGAAAGCAATAAATAGTAACAGGAGAATCTTTGAGAAATTAAAATTGGAACTGTTTTGGAGTGTTTGCATACTTCGCAACTTTTTCTAAGTGGAATTAGCCATATTTCACTGTATTTAATTTTGCTGCATGAGTCTCTGTTTTTGCAACTATAAGAAGTATTCTTGCAACCTAACAAGCTTTCACTATAACTTATTTAGACACCAACGAGACCTGTGCCAAGTTATATTCAGAGACCGGATTATGCTGATCACCCGCTAGGTAACTTGAAACAAATCACAATTACGGAGTGTTATGTTTGCTTTCTATTTTTCTTCTAATTGAAAAAGCCTTTAAAGCATGAAGGAGAAGGGAACCTCTTCTTTTACCTATTCTTCTCACTCTACCTCTTCTTCCCCCACATGGTTTGTTTTGGTATTTTCCCCTTTTTATATCGGTATTGGTCCTTTGCATTTCCCAAAAAAAGGTGCTATAAAGTCTGTTAGAATTATTTTTAAATCTTCAGCCGTTCTTTAGTTATTCTTTACAGAATGTAAATATTTAAATAACACAAAATACTGTCTTTTAGGGGGTTGTTCAACTATAAAACTGAGCTTGCACAGAATTTGGTAGGAAGAATTTATGTGTTTTCATCAGCTGATTATTGCAATAATACAACTAGAGATATTCACAAGCTTATATAACCCTTTATGGCTCTTTTAGAATATTATTTATTACTATTTATTACCGCCAAAGCAGCTAAAAAAAAAAAAAAAAAAAAAAAGAGAAAAAGACTTTTCTATTAATAAAATAATTTCCCTGTAAATCTGATTTTGTAAGGTTGTGTTTTGACTAACTGGACATGGTCGTTTTGTGCAGTAAGTGAACAGGCATCCCGAGCACACGTGGGCATTACGATATTGTGGAAGGCTTATGAATTCAAATTAATCTGGGTAATGATGATAACGCTATGACTTGGTGGTTCGTTACTTTAGTCTGTGGTGAGAAAGTACGTACTTTTATTGCCTTTGGTAAGCTAAGTAAGTTCCTTGATTGGATACATGTAGCAATTGCTCCTCTATATAACGTGTTTTTTTTCTTTCTTTTTTTTCCTCCTCCCCTTTTTATCTTTTCAGGAATGTCTGAATCAGAACAGGCTTTAAAAGGAACCTCTCAAATAAAAATACTCTCGTCTGAGGATATAGAAGGGATGCGAGTAGTGTGTAGGGTAAGGGGGTTTTGTTTTTTGTTAGAAACTGCCTTTATTCTTTAAGAATCTATAGTGATTTTACCAGTTTGTGACAGCACATTTGGGAGTACAACCTTTCAAACCACTTTTCAGCACTGAAAAATAGTTTAGGAAATTTGGTGTTTTCTTGTTTTTTCTCTCCTTGTGACTCCCAATTCACAAAACTATTTTGCAAGCAGAAAGATGACTTTTATCTGTTTTCTGGCTTTGTTGTTACTAGTGAGATAATCCGTGGCTGAAATGTTGTTACTGTAAGAATGTATTTTATAGTGCATAAATAAGAACAGAACTTTTTCCTCTCCTAGAGTTAGTACTCAGTAAAAACTAAAAAGCAAAAGCAAAACAGAGCCCCATCCCCAACAATTTTTGAAAAAGAGCTGTTCAACTGTAATCACTTTCTTGTGCATAAAGTCAAACTTTGAAATGTATTTAGGTAGTCTGATTTAAGTTTATAGTATTCAAGGAAATTGTGGTCCAAGTCTTAATTGGTGTATTTTGAAGTGTCACAGAGGTGGCTTAGTAATATAACTTGTAGACATCTCAAAATATTTCTAGAGCCCAAGTCTACCCAGCTTTCTTAGCAGTCTCAGTGTAGCTGTAGAAGATGGGTCGCTTAATCTTCTAGGGAGTAGTCCTGGTCTTAGTTTAAATCAGTACTTTTGTTTCGTTTGCAGCTTGCTAGAGAAGTATTGGATGTTGCTGCCATGATGGTGAAAGCAGGTGTAACTACTGAAGAAATTGATCACGCTGTCCATTTAGTAAGGTTATTTTATTGTTCTTCTGACGTTTAAAGGTGCTTTCTTCTATCCCTTTATTTTTGAATGATAGTTGTGTGGTTTTCTTTGTTGTTGCATGAATTCCTTTTCTTTATTTTAAACTGTTTCCCAGTTTGAAGCTAGTGGGTAGTGCAGATGTTAGAAATACCTTACAGTGCAATGGTAGATTCAAAATGAGGTAGGAACTCTGGGGCCTCTCTCAGTATCAGCTCCTTCCATGATTCCCAGCTTCAGATTCCAACTAAGTTTCTTTACCTGTTTTCTCGGTTAACATCATATAAATTTCTTTCTTCTAAACCCTTTTTGCTCCACAGATACCATTATATAAAGAATATCGTATGTAGGCCATAGACTTTTTGTGCTCTGTGGTGTTGGTTAAGACAAACAGAGGAGAAGGTTTAATTATTTATCATTGGGAATCAGAACTGAGGAGCCTGAGAGAGAATTGAAGCAAGATGTTTGATGCAGTCAGGCAAACTAAAGCCACAATCCAGCAAAGTACTTGAAATAAATGTTCCAAGTATTTTCCTGGCCTAACTATTCATAGGTACTTGAATGGTGTAATTTTTGGTTTTCTTTGTTTTCTTCTCTATAAGGCATGTAAAGTGAGAATTGAGGATACTTTTGTCCACTATGGGGAAGGCAATGATTTTGGTATAGTTAAGCTTGTTAGAAAGCTTTCTGATTGCTGTTCTTTTTATCTGCATTTGCAGCTGATGAGCCAAGATTGTAAGGAACTTATTCTGGTTTGATTAGGCCGGAGGTTTCTGTTGAACTGCATTAAACACTAAATTATTTGCTTATGCATAATGTCTGACGTGAAAAACTAGTAGTTAAACTGGTGTTATCTCTCCTCAGCAGTTTTTGGCAACTTTTGCATGGCAGATTGTTGATACCAACCGATATCCTTAAGTGGTACTTTGCAGTTTTAAAACAGTATTATTTTTTTAAAATAAAGAAAGTTTACACCATATTATTTTTCCTCGGTATGTCACATAGTGCATGTATGTATGTATATGTAAGTACATGTGAAATATATGTGTCAGTTTTGCAAAAATCCAAAAAGTTATTAAAAGTTATTTAAAAAGTTATTAAAGTGAGTGCAAAGGAAGCAGCTTAAGGTTTTAAAGCTAGGGGTGAGAGAGTGGTGCTAAATGTTATTTTGTCTAGCTTGTGTATTTTGCAAAAATACTTAAAGCCTTAGACCAGGTGCTTAAAAACAGTCATTGAAAATGGCTGTTTTTTTAACTGACTAAATATTGCTATGCATTGTTTTAAACCTAAATATTTCAGCTTTGGTAGGTGAACATAAAGATGAGAAGAAAAAAAATTAAAAGTAGCTTTACTTTCTTTCTGGTAAGAAATGGAAAGCATAACAAAATACCATAATGCCAAAAAATGCTTCAAGAATCTTATTTTCAAGAGTCACCGCTTTTCAACCTATCATTCTTATTGTAAAGCTGTTGTGCATATGTTTTTTATTTGTACAAAACTTACTAATGTAAAGTGTAAATTGTATTTTCTACATTAGGCTTGTATTGCAAGGAACTGCTATCCTTCCCCTCTGAATTATTATAATTTCCCTAAGTCGTGTTGTACATCAGTGAATGAAGTGATCTGTCATGGAATTCCTGACAGGAGGCCATTGCAGGAGGGAGATATTGTTAATGGTAAGTGCTATGAAAATTAACCTTCAACGTTTCTACCCTCTATCCAGTTAAACCATGCAGTAAGGTGAGGTTTCACTAGCAGGCAACGTGATTGGAATAGCTTCTTAAGAGAGGCTTTTGTTCTAGTTTACCAATTAACCTCTGCTCTTTATGTATTTAAATTAATGAGTTTATTTAATAAAATAATTTAAAAAGTTTGGTTCCACTTTAAGAGCTTTATAATTCTTCTACCCTGGTCTGTGCATCTGTGCATTAGTATGGTGCCTGAGTATTCCACTTGTGGGCTAGGTTCCACTTGTTCCAGACTGTATATTGAGTTATTCAACTCGATTAATTCTGTGTGAATTCTTAATCAGATGGCTCTAGATCCTTAACATTTTGCTACGGACATGATGATTATGACAACTGTAGAGGATCCTAATGGTGAGGCATTGTATAGGTGCATATTAAAAAGCATAGCCTTTTTTTTTGAGCATCTTACAGCCTAACAGTACCAACTGCTTTTTGGTCATGGTACTCGAGGTACTTACACCTTCTTGGGTGGTGAGCGATACTTTTATAAATTACTTGACTATTTTTTTGTTTTCTCATTAATTTCTTCTTGGTTTGGCAGTAAAAATTAATGACATTTGTTTTGTAGAAACATTTGCACCTTTGCTTATTGCATTGGTTTGCTTTTCTCTTATCCGTAAATAAACACCCAGCGTATCCTAAGGTTTGACCTACCTCTAGAAGCAGTTTGGAATCCTTTTAGATTGTCAGATATTTGATATATATTAACATGCAATAATAGCTACTAAGTCTACGGCTCAGTGCTGCGGGTAACAGTCTTTTCAGAACAAGCATCACGATTGCTTCCCCTTTCTAGGTCAGGTTTGGTCTGGCTGATAGCTCTGAGCTGTAGCATACATGTAACCATTTGGCCAAAGCTCCTTTATCGTTGTTTAATTTCAAAGATGGTGCCTTTGCACAGCTCTCTGTTGTTGCCAGCTTTTCTGGCATTGCTGGACTCCAAACTAAGGAGCCCAGTTAAGCTTACTAGGTTGGCTTCATCTACACAGTGCTTTACCTTTCTGCTATTTGCATGCAAACGCTGTACCTCACCACTAGAAAACACCTTTTATAAGAGGCTTTAGTCATACCTTTGTTCAAATCCCTGCCCTGACTGCACTTGCCCAACCTTTGAGCCTTCTGCTTTGTTTTGATGAGGAAGAACTAGTTCACTTTTTTGTAGCTGAGTAGGTCTTGTTACAAAATGGTCCACATTTTGTGGGTTGAACATGCGTTCCCCGTGGGCTTCCAAGTCTTGTAGGCTTCTTTTTGGTAAGGTAGTGGCTCAAAAGCCTCTTTAAAAGAAGGAACAAGAGAGGGTACAAAGGAAGAGAGAGAAAAAGCACTTTGGAGGGATTGTGTCCAGTGAACAAGAGGGAAGTTCCCATCTTTCTCTTTACTTAAAACTTTTTAGCCTGCTGGAAGCAAAAGGGGAACATGTCAGGGTCCAAACCAAGTTTTTAGAATCACAGGAAAACATCATCCAGAAGGTACTGGCAGGTGATGTCTACACCAATCTCCTGCTCTGAGCAGGGCCTCATAACATTTTGTTATTGTACTGCTCCCTGGGAGCAGATTCTTAAACAGAGCTGATCTCTCTGCAAAGTGAGATGTTCTGGCCAAATCTGGCAGCATCAAGAGAAAGTCTTGTAACCATGTGGCCTACAGAGATAGCCTCTTTGCAGCAAGTAGTCTGGACACTCTGCGAAGGAGCTCTGATACACAGTTCACAAGAAACTTATCCAGATAAGTTAGCAGGGTGCTGATTTCTATACAGCCCTGTTGTTACGTTACCGGGTATGTACACTTGTCAAAATGTTCCAGTACTTCCACGCAATCATGCAGTGAGTATAGTGTAACCCTGAATATGCATGCATCCACAACAGGCAGTACTGTTTTCATGCGGTGTTAATTTCTTTTAAATATTTGCCAGCAGTACAGATTTACTATTGACACCAATGTGTTTTTCCCCATGTTTTCCTATAAAGGTTGTACTGGTCTCTCTAAGCGGCTCATATGCCATATTCCTAAACTATTATTGCTCAGTACAGTTTCCTTCATGGCTATTTACCTGTGAGGGGGTCTGCGTGTGGATTTCGTCATTAATAGCAGTTCAATAACTATTTTAGTGGTTTTGGTACTCTAGCAGCTATTAGACCTATCAGGCTACTGACAGAGTCTGTTAAACACGAAAGTACCCATTCTACCACAGGAAGTCAACTTGATATGCAAATATAATTTATTTTGCATGTGTTTACTATATATAATGACTATATGATGGCAGGTTTTATTTTTTCCACTCGTCTGCTATGAGAGACAGGATACTAGAATAGATGACAGCTATGTCTAAGCTGGTAGGCCTGTTCCTATGTTTTGTAAAAGGACTATTTGCAACAAGCATCTTGTATGAATGTTCTTGTATGAAAGCATATCTTTTTTTTTTTTTTTTTTGGAATGAGTTAAACTAAAAAAGTTGTTTGTTTTGTTTGTTTGTTTGTTTTTTCCCCTCTGCATATGCTGCTATTTTTCAAGAATGAGTTATATCACTTTTAGTTTACAACGAACTTCATAAGTAAAGCAAACAAGTTAGAGTTTTGCTGCAACATAATTCTAAACTTATTTTATGTTCTTCTAGACCTCGGTTGTTTAAGCATGCCCTTTTCATTCTTGCTGTTTGCCTGATACTAAATGTTTAAATACTTTAATTTGAAAGAAAAAAGAAGTTTTACGTTGTTTGGTATATTTTTCTTAGTCAGGAATATTGGAAAGCTGTTGTGTATTTAATGTTCAAGAAATTTTACCTTTTTGGCTGGAATCAATGGGTTTTGGCATTACAATTTTTGCAAAGGTGTGACTTATTATTCTAAACGTGCATAGCAATTACCTAAGTTAAAATACAGGTTAAAACATGACTACATACCTTTTTAAATTTAATTTTCCCCCTGTTAGTGCTGGAGTTAATTCTAAGAAAATATTTTAACCAGGTAAATCACCATGGAGCAAAGAGCTTCTCTTTCCTGTTTTTATATTTACGTAGAAAACCAATCATGAGCCTGCTGTGTCTGTGTTGCATTAGAGTGTGGTTTTTTCTCTTCCTTTTTTTCTTTTTTTTTTTTTTTTTAATGAAATCAAACCATTGATCAGTGAAACACTATCTTATTAATTAATTCTATAGAATCTACAGGATAAGCATGAGAGAGTTGATTCTGCTGGAAGAGTTTACATCTGGAATTCTTCCAAAGTAATCTTTTAACTTCACAATTACAATACTACATTTTTACATCTGTGTGTTGTCCTTTCACAAATCAAGAGACAAGAAGTGAGAAATACAGTGCTAATATTACAACATGTCTGGTATTCTTTGCAGTGGATATTACTGTCTATCGTAATGGCTACCATGGAGATCTGAACGAGACATTTTATGTTGGAGAAGTTGATGAGGGTGCAAGGAGGCTTGTCCAAACAACTTATGAGTGCCTAATGCAAGCAATCGATGCAGGTAAACCCTTTGGCTAGGGCCTGAAGCCATTATGGTTTTGGTTCTCAAACATGAGTGCTCATATTTGCTATTGGCCGGGAGTGACTTCTGTTGTAGAACACAGAAGCGTTAATGTGTGTCACCGGCAGATGATGTATATTGTATAATACAGTGATTCTTCAAATGGCATAGTTCTGTGGGTGGTGGTTGCAACTTTTATTTGAAATGTGGGTTGACAAGGAAAATGTAATTGATGCTGAGCTGATCCACATATGGTGATATTTACATGGAAACAGCCTTTTCGGACTATTAGATGGATGAATAAGTCATCCTGGATCTGAGGAGTTTAGAGAACGTGAAGAACAAAGTGTGTTCTGAAAAACCAAAGTATGGCTTCCTAGTTTTATAATTTGTATGGTGTTGCACAATGAACCAATAAGGTAAAACACTGTTTGAACACTTAGACATATCTCTTTACCCCTGCCAAACCTGATGGTTATTTCATAAAGCTAATTATGAGCTCTTGATTTTCAACTGTGGGAGTATGACAGAGAAGACAGATCTGTATCCCTCAGTACCCACAGAACTTTAATTATGTTGCTTAGATATAACTCAGGACAGCTTCATTGAGACATACAATGAGACAGAAAGGTAGCTAGAGAATGTCATGTTCAACTTCATTCACAAAGGAATATACTTAGTTCTCTTAGACAAACAGAAAACAAAACAAAGATCTCCCAAGTCCCTGGAAATATTTGTATCCTCTGTATCTTTTATACCCTGCAGCTTCTTAAAATCCCCAATAAAATTTACTCACTTCATGGCCTCTAAAGAACTGAAGTTTAAGGTGCTATATACGAAGGCTTTAAACTTGCATTTAATCAAAAGTAGATGGAAAAAAAAATTACAATGAACTTACTTTGGTTAATAATTTGGAGATAGCTAGCCAAGCTGAAAAGACAAAAATCCATATGAATGATGTCTGGCGTATCCATTGTGAGACCAAGAAGCTACTGCAGCATTGAGCTGTGAAGAATATAGATTACCTATTTATGTGGGATTACTATTCTGAAATGAGCACTTTGTTTTTCAGAGGTAAATCAGAATAATGTTTATCTTTGCTCCTGTAGTTTATATCAAATATTATATGTGTTGTCTCTTATCTTTCATATCCTGACTATGACAGAAATTCACCTTTGTGTTCATTATAATGAGATTTAAATTCTCAGTGTAATTTTTCTTTACCAGATTTTTAGATGCTGTAACAGCTTTTAATAGATTTTAGACATTCCCTGTTAGTAGGAATTCTGTCAGCGTCTCAGCTGTTAAAAAGGGTCGCCTCTCCCCTGTTTAAATCATCTTAATTTCTTGGACCAGCAGAGTTCTAACTAGGAGAGTTGTATGAGAGAGAGCAGCAGAGGGCTCCTTGCTGCCTTGAGATGAGTTGCCTGGTATTGTCAGGCCCGAAGGAGATGGTACTACTTCACAACTATATAGCACAAAACCAGCAGATTAACTTTTCCTCTCTTTCCCACTGTTGTCTCTTTTTTGTATTTTGGGAAAAGCGTGCACATTCCAGTGATCTAAATTTCTTGTTATTTTCTGTAAATTCAGCTTACTGAATTAAGTTGTAGTTGTTTACATTAGCAGAGAATTGAACTAATTGGCTTGCTTCACATAAAGTTTTAGCTATGTATGTGAACTCTGCTTAAGATGGCTCTACATAACCATACAACATCTGGCTCCTGAAGGCAGAGCATGTATTTGGGGAGTTCTGAATGATCTTGAAATAGCATTTACATTCTTTTTTTCTTTTTAGTGGCTCAAGGTTGCCTTTGGTATGCATCTTCATTAGCTGATGGATGAGGCATTGTTGCTTTTATGGTATTATTATTCCCTTGTCCAAGAGCTCAAAGTGAATTTTTCACGCCATTTTAATCTGTTTCAAACTCTTTAACTTTTAAGGCTTCCTAAAAGGATTGTCAAAAAAGTTAGTGCTGCATGTGAACATTTCTTATTTGCTGTAGCATTGCCACTAAAAATCTTGTCTAAGAGTAGAGATACCTGCTCTGTCTTCCCCCCCCGCCCTTCTTGGTCCTTCACATATAATCATTTTTCCTCTTTGTTTATGTGCACTTCTCACGTAGTAGAGAGATAAATGTATATTAAAACATTGTTCATACATTCATTGAAAGAAGCACTGCAACTCTGCATATGAGAAGTTACCAAGTACTTTGAAAGTCTTTTGTTGTCTTTAATTTCAAACTTCAACATCCTTTTCATGTATGAGCACTTACATCCACAAAAGGAAGAAAGTAGTGTCCTTGTGAAGAAGGAATTTTCTTCTCTCTCTCTCATTTTCTCTTTTATATGAGACTGTTTCCTCCCTCTCTGTTATTGCACTCACTTATATACTTGGTGGATTAAGTAATCATAGGAAGTTGCATACGAGAGCAGATGGCCATACAAGCCATGAGTGCTACAGAGATATTAGCCTGAATGGTGTTTGATGGTTAGTTATGTTGAAAGCAAGCTCTATAAATTTCCATCTGTATCTCTCTCAATTTTTCAGTAAAACCTGGTGTTCGGTACAGAGAACTGGGAAACATTATTCAGAAACACGCTCAAGCAAATGGATTTTCAGTGGTTCGGAGCTACTGTGGGCATGGAATCCATAAACTTTTCCATACGGCCCCTAATGTACCACATTATGCCAGTGAGTATTCATTCCCTTTGCATTGTCCTGTAGATAAGAAGTGGTTTCCAATGAACGCACCCAATTTACTTCTTGCTTATATGCTAATAAAGTAGCGTGTTGCCCGACAGCCATCAAGTTAGCATTTTTGCACTTGTGAAATAATTTTTTTCTAAACTCTGGACCATAGCATGCTTTATGAACCTAAATAAGGTGAATATATTACATACTGAGACAACCTGTGCTTACAGTAATGGTTAGTGTTAGCTCTCTTCTGTACTGGGTAAGTGCTCAATGTTTTTGCCTGAATTCCCAACTAATTCCTTAGACATCCTTGTCTGACATGAATGGGCAAATGCTTCTATCTTTAGAAGGTCTAAGCAAAAACTTACTGCCACTTCCAGATGTAAATAAAAGGCTTTTTGAATAGTATAGACAGGTGTTGTGCCTGAACCTGAATCCTGTTATGTTTCACTTTTCTTCATTTGAGTGTTGTGATCTGGTGTTCCTGGAAACTTCTGTAGTGTGTGGCAGAGGAGGAACGACCCTTCCCGCAGCAGGTTCTCAGCTTTATCTTTTGGAAATGGCAATGTTCCCATAACAATTTTTGCCAGCAGGACTAAGAAACAGCATCCACAGAGGCAAAGGAGAGAAGCTTAAGTGCCAGTGGACAACTAAGAATAGAATAAATATCATGAAGCAGTGATAAATAGTTCACACCTACTTCAGCTGCAAAGCTCCCCTGATAGGACATTTATTTCCTCAGACTTGACAGATGCCTCCATCTTCCCATCTCCTAATGAGCTGTAACACAGGTTATAGTTATAGATTATAATCTAGCAATCCCTGACTTTTCATGTCGTCATTTCCCCAAGTTATTTTTTTTTTTCAGAGAACAGAGAAAATCTATTAATCGCAGGGTAGAAGGGTATCGATTCCTGGTATTTACTTTTTGTCATGTAAAATGAAGAAAATCTGGATTCTTTGGAGATGAAGGACATTTTATACCGATTAAAATGCAATCTGAGAAAAAGGAAATTTCTGTCTTTCCTGGCTGATGGGAACTTTGAACTTTTTTTTTACATTGAGCCAGAATGTCCGTTCACAAAAACGAAGATGCTGTGTTTTCTTCTGGTATTTCAAAATACAGATTCACAGCAAAAGCAAAGAGGAAAGACCTGAGGGACTTAAAGCCTCTTGGAGGAAAAAAACCTGAAAGCTGCTGCTTATTTCTGGCTTACAGTGAAAGGATTTTTAAAAGCAAAGAGCTCATTTTATAAGCCTTTAAATTATTTAACAAAATCATGAAAACTACATGGAATAAGGGACAAAATCTGTTCAGATGCAAAAGACCAGAAACTTAAATGTAAGTGTTGAGAGCAAGAAATAACAGCACATGATGGACATAGAGGCAAGACCTTTTAAATAAAAGAAAAATGTTCTGGTGGCTGCTGTATCTGCTTCATGTCTGAGATTTTTAAAGCATCGAGGTGATTTAGACAATTTAATAAATTTACACAACTAGAGTAGACTGGGGGATGGGGAATCTGTATGTAATGATTGATGCAAATTGTCTACAGCAGCAAAGTAGCTTGGAGCTAACAGTTCCTGTGCAATAGTGGCGTTTGTTCCAGCTCTCGCATGCTAGGCTGAGTCGGATCTAAGCTGCACTGCCGTTCAAGGTGAAACAGGGCAGAAGAAAAGGTCTGAAGCCTTTCTTCAGTCAAACTACACTCCTAGAGACGTGCTGTGCATCAGTTCATGTGCCTCCACATAAACATTTTTGGTGTGTATAGCATCAAAAAGTTCCAGTGTTATTGTCCTGGATGCCTTGAAATTCTCTGCCTTTTTATGTCAGCTAAAGAAATACAGCATTATCACCCTGACACTACTATGACCCCATTACCCAGAGTAACGAGGGGGGCAATGTGTCTTTCATAAATGGAATCGTGGGATTACTTAACCGCTATCATATTTTGACAATTTATTGGAGCTAATGGTTCAGTGGAAACAAGTTAAGAGGTTTCAAGCCTTCCCTGAATAGCTTAAATACTTCTTATTTTTATTGATTTTTTTTTTTAATAATGATGTTTTTAATGATGTCTGCAGAAATTCCTGTATTACATTTCTTCAGTGTTTCTGTAGAACTGGAGTTGAACTCCAGTTGTTGGAGAGAAAGACAACATTTAATTTTAAGCCCCTTGAGTAAACATTGCAGTGTTGGAAGAGGGAGAGAAGGAGAGAACTAAGGGAAATCTTAATGTAAGAATTAAAAACGGACAAGTCATGAATGGGTCATCTCTGAAGGGCTCTTCTGACTTTTATAGTATTCCTG